TTTAAAAATTCGTATAAGCTATGACTGCGTCATAGCTTGCACGATATTTTTAAACACCCGTACAATAACTAGTACATCTTTTGTTTTTTATTTATAAAAAAAAAAGATTAATCACAAATTTTATGTTTTTGTTATATGCTAAAATTATTTATCTTATTAGTTCTGTAAACTTTGTACAAATGCTGCTTCAAATTCATCTTCATCGAATTCATTATTGCACTCTGAGATCATGTGTCACAAGTTACATATGCGCTGATTTTGTTTGAGCCTCAAAATTCAGTACGGTATGATCATAACGTTATGAATACTTTATACTAGCAAAACCTATTGGTTTTGAGATGGGCCATTGGTTTGACGGGCTGTTGAATAATAAAAAAATTTTTTTAGGGTTAATAATCATTCTACTGACCAATTTACACATTAAAAATACTCGTGTTTAATGTCGAGACACAATAAGAATAAGATATAAGGTTGAAAAAAGGATCCAAAAACCCAAATCGGCTGATATGTGTATCAACGAATGCAATTGATATTTTTACTAATAGCCGCCCGTGGTTTTTCATAGTGATATTTTGAAAACTTTAATTATTTATTATTATTGTATTGTTTATTGTGTTTATTATTCATGCAAAAAAGCAAAGCCTTTAATTCGGAATTCGTAATCTTATAAGTGGCATAATATAATTATAATTCTTGCGAAATTCTTCAAATTTAGTAACCCAATTTCGAGTTGATTTTTCAGTATTTGCAACAATAGCTTTTTGACGATAAAAATCAAGTTTCTCATAAATTTCAGATGGTGCTTGTTGTGAGGAAATGGTATTTGAAATACTTTGAGGAATAGAATCAACTAGTAAAATAGAAATCGAAGCTTTGGAAACTTTTTGGGAAAGGAGCGAGTTGAAATGCTCGTTTGGGTCCTTTTTGCTTTTTATTGGTGTGAATTTGACGCATTTTTATTAAATAAAGAAATGTTTTAAGAAAGGGCGCAAAAGATAAATTGCAATTTTTTATCATAAGCAAAAAAAGGCTTTTATGTAAAATGAACTTTTTTTCATCACGGGAGTTAGTCTCCGTGAGACAAACCAGTTATTTCACGGGAATATCCATGAAATATCATTATTATTATTCACTAGTATTTATTATTGGTGGCGTAAATAGTCATGGTATTTAGGCTTTCGACATTAATATTAATTTATATTTAGACTTTCAACATTAGTGTTTTAGATGTTTTGGCATTACGGCAAATCAAGTGACCTCGTCGAGTATATTTCAACAGTCGAAATGCCTAAATGTTTGTTGAAACTATATATTTAGGCTACCTAAGCGTACCCTATTTAAATGCATGCCCTTCTCGTTCCCAAACTTATAGTGAGATTATAAAATCTCATCCCTTAAATGCACACTCATGAGTGATGGTGATATGTCTCCAAGAGGGGTGCACTTAGAGGGGTGTTGACTGTACATATATAAGCTTAATCCTATTATTAAAGAAAACAGAGAATTTTATTTGTTCTTGTTCCTAAACATAAACTTTAACTATGTGATTCCATTTTCAGACGCTACGAAACACGAATTAAAAAAAAAGATATATAATCAATGCAGCCAATTTAAATATTTACAGGACGAACTTAAATTTTATTGTTATTTTTCCATAATGGGAATTTTGACCCCTCATTTATATTTCCTGTGCGACGCATTTTTTTGACGAATTTTGCAAAATGTTTAATAAAAAAATAAAATTAATAACTTTTGATGCGTTTGGTACTTTGTTCCAACCAAAGAAAGGTAAAATAGGTGCTATATATGTAAGAAATATTATTATTACAGTTATACGAATAATGTTATTATTTAATTAATATTAATTAATAATTATTATTTATATTAGGCAAATGAATTATGTAAATTTAATATTTCGATGGATCAAGAAATAATTAATAAATCATTTAGGAATTCGTTCAATAAAATTTATAAAAAATATCCAAATTATGGTTATCATCATAATGTTAACACAAAAGATTGGTGGAATATGGTAAAATCATGAAAGTTTCAAATAAATACTATAAAATCTTTTTATTACATATTCTTTGTTATTATTAGGTTATAAAAGAAACACTATTGGAATCTGGATTACATGAAAAAAGTATTTTATTTATTTATTTTAAAAAATGCATGCATGTTACTAATAATAGATATATTTACTTACTATATAAATTTATCTTTAAAAAGAATTGGGAGAAATATTTGAATTATTGTCAGATTCATTATATAATATTTTTAAAACTTCTCAAGCTTACGAGTTATTTCCTGAAAGTGACTCTGTACTTTCCAAATTATATAATATTAATTATTATAAATTGGGAATTATAACAAATTCCGATGAAAGAATTTGTAAATTATTTAATTTTAATTTTCCAATAATGATAATAATGATAATGATAATAATAATAATAATAATAATAATAATATTTCTATTTTTATTTTAGATGACATTTGTGATTCATTAAATATCTCCAAATATTTCTCATTTATAATTACAAGTAAACAATTTGGAGTTGAAAAACCTTCAAAATTGATTTTTCAAAAAGCTCTAGACATAATCAACGATGATAATAAGAATTTTATTACCGATAAAGAATCGCTGCACGTTGGAGATAATGAAGAAAAGTAAGATTATTTGAATAATGATAAAACATTACACAGAAAACTATATTTATTATTTCTACACTATTTTTAGAGATTATTTTGGTGCTATTGATTCAGGCTTTGGCGCTTTATTACTAAAAAGACAATCTTATAGTAGCAATAAATCAAGTTTAATAATTTCCAATTTGGGACAGGTTTTAAATTATTTGAAAATTAAATAATAAAAAGTTTTTGCTTATTTTATTTTTGTTTTGTTTATATATATATACATTAAAATTTTTGCAAAAAAAAAATTTTTTTATACTAAAGATTCGCAGTTGCGTAATTTTCCGGGGATTGTATTAGAGATTACATTGTCTTGTAAATGATAAATTTTTATCCAATAATTGATATAATTATTAATTCTAAAATGATTTGTCTTCTTATTGAATAACAAATCCAATTCTCCTTCATAAGTTACAATTTCACCTTTATTATCGTTGCTGTTGGTGATTTTTTTCGTAATCTTTAAACCGTTAACGAAATTTCTTGTTAAATCGTATTCTAAACTATTATCTTTATTTAATAAATAGAAATGATAATTTTTAATGTTTAAATCATTTGGCAAATTATAAAAATATCCTTTAATCTTTGTTTCTTCCGTTTTCTGATCATGGTAGATTATTATGTAACCTTGAATCGTCGTGGTTGGATTTGTATTTTTTAACAGAGAATAATCCATATCCTCGTAATCTAAAAAATTTTTTATTGCTTTTGTCATAATTGGTTTTGTAAGGTTTGCATACAAACATTCATCATATTTAACGTGTTCATATTGAATATTATTTACAGTGATTTGTTGTTGAAAGACGTTTTTAATATTATTATTTAAAGGAATTGCATTAACAATATTCATTATCGTTATTATTATATTAAGAATAATGAAGATATTGTTATTGTTCATTGTTCCCATCATTGTTTTCAATATTTGTTTCGTTATTGTTTTTATTTTATTAATAAATTTTTTTTGAAAAAAAAAAAAGTTTTTTTTTGAGAAACAGAATTCTCTTTTTTTATTTATTTATATACTTTTTTCAACAACATATCAATTACTACTTCAGGACTATCTATCTAATCAAACAACTATTCATTTTATGTAATTGCTAAACAAATAAAAAGTTAATTCATGCTAATAATAAACTCGTCCCATTTTATAAATAAACGTTTCATTTAGTAATCATTTGCCATACTAAATACCGAGTACACAAAAACCTAATTCGATTTAACCGTATATTTTATTTGCCGATAATAAATTCCATTTAGAAAAAATTTTCAAAGAGAATTACATTTTTTTTTTTTTTAGGGCTGAAGCAAAAATAAATTTCATCTAGAATTAATAATCAATTATGTTAATCGACCGTTTTTAAAAATTATTTAATTGTTACTAATCACACAGTTATTGACTTACTTTTTTTAAAAAAAAAATAGACCAACAAATTGCTTGTTAATTAACAAGTTCAACAAAATTTGTTGCTAAATCCAATGCTTCTTTTGTGATTTTATTTAATCTTGCCAACTTTAATTTTTTCAACGATGATTTTGTGGAATGGATCATTAATATTTTCAGATGCCAATCATTCAAACAGTAACACTCGCTCAACCCCAAAATTTCTAATGATGACGAAGATGATGAATGATTATTATTACAATTACCAAGAAATTGTTGTAATGAGGTCGGCGAGAAGGACCAAATAGCTTGAATATTTAATGTTTTTAATTTTGTTGGCATCCAAAATCCAAGGTCTGGTAGAAGATCATCCGCCACTATTGGTTCTCGTCCAAGGATCGTGATATTTTCAAGCTGTTTACAATGCGCAAATATTGCCACCGTTTGTGACGTGTTCAAATGTGCACATAATACTTGAATATTTGAACAATATTTTGCAATGACTTCAATAATTTTCGATTCTTCTTCATAATCATAATAACCATCCTCAATAGATATCAGTGACCAATCCAATGACAAGTGTTTTATGCTATCGTGATTATTCCTAATCAGGTCTTTCAATAAACTCGGCAGAGTGTGAAGAACATTAAATACTAGTGTGTGCAATTTTGGAAATTTTGTTTTTGATAGCGAATCGATTGAATGATTTGTTACATAATCACATAAATTAAATTTCAAAACTTCCAAATTTTTACATGCTACAAGCGAGTCAAACGTCATCCCTTTCTCAAATCTTATTCCTTTGAATTCCACGTGTGAAAGATATTTTGATTGGCTTGACAATGCTGATACAATCTTTAACAAAAATTTATGAAATGTCGCTAATGTAAAACTTTTCAACGATTTCTGATTCCTAATCAATAAAGCAAGTTCATCTGCCGCTGCTGATTTTCTATTGTCTAAAAAATAATCAACATCTAACGTTTGGATATTTTTGCATGATTCTGACATTATTCTAAATATCTTTGTCTTGTCATAATGTCCACAACATTTGAACTCTTGTAAATATGCTAAACTCTTATTTGCTCCATGGAAACACGGGATATCAAAATAATCATCACTACTGACCGTGAATTCATGACTTTCTGTGTTAATGTGTAATTTATTGATATGTGTGGAATTTTTAATGAATGCTTTACACAATTCTCTAGTAATCAATAGCCCTTTATATTTAGTAGATATCGATATATTCGCATTATTTATATTAGCTACATATCTACTGCTTAACCAAGCCACGCATGAAAGATAAATATTGGAAAATATTATTTCTTTTAAAAATATTGTATAATTATAAAATGTCCTTCCAGTGATGGCAGGGGTGGTGCTGCTGGTGGTGATAAGTCTAGTGAAATTATTGTTATCAACATTATCACATTTTATCATTTGAGAGTATACAAGAATTGCCCTTTCACAGGGATCCAAACAGTTTAAATAAGTTTGTATTAGCGAGGCTGACAAAGGGGGTTGTCTCAAGTATTTAAACGGACAACTCCATAATATTGTTACAACACACTCACTCCAATGTCTATTCACCAATAAACACGATAATAGTGATTTCGTGTCTTTGTCAAGATAATACAATGCTCGATTGACAACTTCAACAGGTAAATAAGACATTAAATAACAAATAAAAAAAACATGGGAAAAAAATTTTAACAAATAGTCAAATAGTTCAATATTTGAAGATCTTGAAAATCATTTTCTATTCTAACTTACTTTAGAAATCATCTTACAAAATGCAATGATTCATGATTTTTATGACGTCAGATCGTGTCCTAGGGACGGTTGATTCAACGGAATAATTATAACGCAGTCCTGTCAATTCAATAAACAAGTATGGATTTGCTAAAAGTCAATAGTTTATATTATAACATTTTTATTATATGTGATTGTTTATTACAATATTATTAAGAGAAGCTATTTTCAAAAGAAAGTAATATACCTTAACCCTAGAGAAGTCAAAATGTTTTAATATTTCACTAAATTGTTATATCAAGTATTTTTGATGACTAATAGTTATAGATCTTTAACTTTTCTAATAACAGCTTACATCGCCTTTGATTATGTTAATTTAAGAAATAAATAAGTTATACGAATATTGTAATTTTAATAAATAAGAAATAATATATATGAATTTGTATAACAATAATAATAATCCTTTTCTTTCCTTTGCTGAAGAGTTATTACAGTGTCTAAAAAAATTTAATAGTAGATTAGTTATAATTAGTGGGCTCAAAAGATTGTGGCACTAAAAGAAACGCCAAAAACTTTGGTTTCAAGCAAAATTTCAAGTTTCCTAAGATTGGATTAAAGAAAATCATCCTAATTTTGATTTATCTATATATATTGATTATTACCACTATTTACTTTACCTCGGCCAGAAATAAACTCTAATCTGATGAAAAAATTTATGTTCTTCCCGATTACATGTATAATCGTCATATCCAAGCATCAAACATTTATTATCAACGCGGTAAAAACCCAATAGAAATATTCATTTACAGATATGAATAGACCACCCGGTCTACTTCCACAAATCAGCAACCATGTGACAAAGTTAAGGAATTGAAAATGGTAAACAAAGCCCAAACTGATAAAACGACGGACACTCACTATTCAGCTACTTTTTATAGAATAGTTAAAATTTTTTGATTTTATCACTATGGGATCAAGCAAGGATTGCCCATCGTGTAACTAAATCAATTATCCCTGAATCTTATATTCGCTTTGTCTTTTGTTGCAGCAATCTGTCCCATATATAATAATAATAAGGCAAAATGAACACACAAATTCATCCATCATCATCATCACCATCATCATCATCATCATCATTACCATCATCATCATCATTACCATCATCATCGTTATTTCCATCATCTTCTTCTTCTTCTAATCAACAAACAAATCATGGCAGAATTGAAGATCAAGAAAATGCTCCATCCTCGATATCCACCACATTATCATCCTTAGTATCTGGTATAAAATCAGTAGCTTTTGATGTTTCTTATTATTGGATCAAGGTATTTTTATATCATTGTAATAATAGTAAATTAGGCAAAATATTATTAATATGAATAAATATTAGAGGCTTTATGATTGTTTCTTATCACTCCATGATCAACAATCATATTACAAACGTTTAATGGAAATTGCTACTAATTATGAACAATGGTCAGAAGCTGCTACAATATTGGATCAATTACAAGGTATTATTATATTGGGAGGATAAATTATTAATTATTAATAATCAATAATAATTAATCCTTAAATCTTTAAATGATAAGGAAATGATCAATGGAAGAATACTCCAAGTTCAGATGACTATGATTTTGAATTACTACAGAGAAGACTTGCTCAGTTAAAGAAAGCACGCAAAACTGGTGATTTATCACAAATGATTTTTTTATTAAGAACCTCATTAGCAAGAAATCTTGGTGATATGGGTCAACCTAAAGTAAGATTTTTAGGAAATACTTGATTTTATTGTTTCTTTTCCTAAATTTTATATGATTATGATTATAGTTATATGCACATACACATATTGGAACCAAAAGATTGATTGAAGCATATATAAATGAAGTAGTAAAACAAATGAATATAATATGTGACACTGAATCAGATGAAATATCTACAAAAGCAAAATTAGAATTTTTCACTAATACAAGACAATCATTTGGAAGAACTGCTCTTTTATTAAGTGGTGGTGCTACATTCGGTAAATTTTACTGATGCTGGTGATGGAGTTATGGGATGATAATTAATACAATTAATCAAATATAATCAATTGTTTGTTAGGACTTATACACACGGGAGTAATTAAAAGTCTTTATGAGTGTAAACTTTTACCTCGTATTATTTCTGGTGCATCAAGTGGATCTATTTTTGCTGCTCTTTTTTGTACAAAAACAGATGAAGAAATACCCGAGACTTTGGAATTACTTACTTCTCCTGCATTTGATTTGGTAAATATATATATATATATATATACACATATACGTTATGTTATATTTATATAATATACTTCATATTAATTAAATAATCAACAAAATATTGTAGGAGGTTTTTGAAAGATCATCAGATCCAGATACTTGGTGTAGAAGAGCAATTAGATTTTTAAAACACGGTATTTGTTTTCAAAATTCAAATCAATAAATAAAATTTTTTTATTTATATATTACATATACGTGAAATTATATCATTAGGTGTAGTTTTTGATGTGGAGGTATTTAAAAACAGCATGAGAAAAAATATTCCCGAGATGACATTTCAGGTAAATAATTGTCAATTCTATTATATAAGTAATAATAATAATAATAATAGCAACATAATGATTTCTATAATTGCATAATTGATTAATTGTAGGAGGCATATAATCGTACAAGAAGAGTTTTGAATATAACAGTTAGTTCATCTACCGTTTATGAGATGCCAAGACTACTCAATTATTTAACTGCTCCAAATGTAGTAAGTATTACCATTTAATAAATATTTGAATCTAATATTAATTAATATGGCTTTGATATATTTAATTTTTAATAATTTACAACATTTTTTTAAAGTTGATCTGGTCAGCCGTGTAAGTCACGCGTACTTGCATTTTATTTATTTATTTATTTTCAGTAAATTTTCTTATTCTCGTTTTCATTTACTATATTACCATGTATATAGTGCTGCATCTTGCTCAATTCCATTAATTTATAATTCAACACCTTTAATGGCAAAAGATAAATCAGGAAACATAGTTCCATGGAATCCTTCCGGTTATTATTTATTATAATATTATTTGTTATGTTTTCATAATAATGGTAATATTAAATATTAACAATAATATGATGACTATTTGTAGGACATCGATGGATTGATGGATCTGTGGAAAAGTATGTATTTAAAATTATTTATTTCATTTTTAAATGTTTATTTATATTTATTTTCATCTATCTATTTATTAGTGATCTACCAATGAATAAGCTTTCGGAACTTTTTAATGTAAATCATTTCATTGTATGTCAAGGTTAGTTGGTTATTTGGTTATTTAGTTGGTCAATTAATTGTTGATTGATTCCTTTAATTGTAAAATATAATTTATTACTAATATGTTTCATATGTTATAGTGAATCCACACGTAGTTCCATTTTTAGATAAAAAATTGATTCCATCGCCTATCAGTAGATTAGTTAACTGGTTTTTGTTTTTAGCCACTTCTGAATTACAACATCGAATGAATCAGGTAAATAAATATATTATAATATAAATATAAATATGATTGATTGATAGTGTTCAATAATCATCAATTCCTCCTATCCTATCCTATTCTATCAATATATTTTCGATTTATATTAGCTGAGTGAACTTGGAGTAGTGCCAAGTGTAATATATATGATTCAAGCAATAGTATCACAACGTTATTGTGGTGATATTACAATAGTTCCTAAAATAAGTTATATGAATTTTCTTAAACTTTTATCCAATCCTACTCCTGAAATAATGGGAGAAGCTACATTAAATGGTGAAAAGGCTACTTGGCCTAGTATGTTCTATCTAATCTATATGGTATCTGTATATGTTATGTACGTGATATCCTTTGTTAATTGAGGTTTTTTTTTCAAATTTAGAAATTTCTATAATACGTAATCATTGCCAGATTGAATTGACATTGGATGAAGTTATTCATCGGCTTCGTCGTCGTCAACTTGAAGATTTAAACATTTTCATTAATATTAACAACAGCAACAACAATAAGGTTGGAACTTTGGATTCAGTTATTCAACAACAAAAAAATAAAAAAAATGCTAATGCTGATGATAATATTATAATGACAGTCAAGATAGAATAACATTGTAGATGTTAACTTGGATTATAAATAAATTTTTATTATATTACCAGGGAAATATATTGCTTTACAAAATTTACCAAAACTTCTCTTCTTCAATCACATATAACACAACTGATAAATATAATCTTATTCTTTGAATCTCAAATGGTCTTCATAAAAGCTAATAATCTTTTAAAAAAAATTAAAATCTTTAAATGTTAATTAACACTAATCAAAAATTTATTTATTTTTTATATGTGTATGTACCTTTTGAGGACACCTAATATTTACTATTTCAGCTGTATGTGATGTTATTCTACCATTATTCCTTTATTTCATTTACACATTATTAGAGATTATTGAGGATCTAATAATTTATAAAAATAAATTTATACCAACCAATTTAAATGAACAATTATTTCACCTTCTCTTTTTTCAACATTTCGAACATTTTTTACTTTATCTTCCCAACTTTCCAATAATAATGATTGTTGTTGTTGTAAATATACTCGCAAATCCTCATCGTCATTATTATTAGCTTTTATCATACAATCTTTATTTTTATTGTCTTCAATCATAAAACCAACAGGATTATTATTATTGTCTTCCTTATCTCCAATCATAAATCCAAAATTATTTTTATTATTGCCTTCCTTATCTTCAATCATAAATCCAATATTGTTATTATTATTGTTTTCCTTATCTCCTCCAATCATACAATCAATATTGTTATTATTGTCTTCCTTATTTCCTTTTTTTCCACTCATACAATCAATATTGTTACTATTATCTTCCTTGTTTCCATTCATACAATCAATATTATCAACCACCCAATCATTATTTTTATTATCCTCGTTGTTACTTTTCAATATAATATCATCAACTACATCAACTACACTATCATCATTATTACCATCAATAATTTCCTCGTCATCATCGTCATCATCAATATCAATAATTTCATCATCATCATCAATATCTCTTACATTGTCCAGTTTGTCCCAATAATCTTTTATTAAATTTTTTGCAAACCTATCAAATAATAGATAGAGATCAAATATATATATATATATATATAAAATAAACATTTATAAAAAATATAAAGTCAATTTACACATTATTTTCATCTTCCCAAGTATTTTGAGAGTCGTCAAAACCTTCCCATTTAATTAAATATTTTAAAATCCTCTTTTTTTAATTATTATTATTATTATTAATAAATAAAAATAAAATAAAATATATAGTAAATTTTTAAAAACAAAAAGAAATTAATAAAAAAACTTACCCCTTTTTTCCGATGTTTTATCATTCGATGATTTATTATTTTTTCGACTGGATAACAATCTGTCATCATTATTATTATGAAATAAATTAAATGAACGCAACGCGAAAAACTATTATTATGAAAAATGCCGTATTTATATCTTTTTTATGCCGATCATTTAATTAATTTAACGCGCGGGTTGGGTTATATACACTCGTGGTGATTTATTAGTATGTATAGACAGGACTTTCAAAAGTTAAATAAATTCAAATATTATTAAATAATGGAATATGGTAAAACGCATTATATATATATATATATATAATATAAAACATCATTTATAAATAAATTTAAAAAAATTTAATTATTAGTAAGAGTTGGTGGTCTTGGTGGTGGAAGTCGTGGAGGCATGTGTGTTTATGAACGAATTTTTAATAAATCAATTACACATAATGCAAAATTATTTTAGGTGTGCTAAAATGAGGCGTGGGAGGAGGAAGTAGTGATGTTAGCCAGTAGAAAAACCTTAGCCGGAATTTTAGTGCAGAATTCAGTGACATAGATGTTTAGTTGAGATGGGTCCATCCATCAGCACTACTTGTAATAACAAAAAAATATACATTTGCTCAGAAAACAAAATACAATACAGAGAAAGAGGTGCAGTTAATGCCAAGTAAAACAAATTGAATCAAGTTCAAAGATGGATAGGCTCAAGATAATTTTATACTTTTGGATTGGTTACTCATATTATCCAATCAGGAAAGGGCATTGACTTTTTCGAAAAATCTATTAGTATAAAAGTTTCACTATGTTCAAGCATTTTGACCATATTGATGGGTGTACATTGAACGAGGGTCTTTGTGTCCCTGGCATTAAGATCAAAATCATTCTTGGCGGGTGAAAATACAAAACAATTATATAGATAAGAGACTCAAACTAGCATTAACGTGCGTGTGAATTTGAAATTTTGAATTAATTCAAATTAGCCAATAAATAATTTTTCTATTAATTAATGTTTGAAATCCCGCTGTAATTAATAAATAAATAATCTATATGTTCTACATATTAAAATTAGGTTTAAATTAAATTAAAATAATTGAATACAAATTGTTCAAAATAATAAATAAAATACTTGTTAATTTGTGCTTAAATCTTGATCTTGTACC